ATCTATTCATGTACATACATACATACATTTTATTCCTGAACTGCTGCTTAGCACGTTTCTTTAATTCGCTATCAATATTAAAGCATACATTTAGGGGGCATTTCCGCCCCAACCATGTACATGTGTGCATTGGTATTGGTGTGACTTTTGAATTGATTTTTTCGCTCTATTTTAAACTGATTTGAAATTTTAAAAATTGCCTGCACATCAGCATCAAAATACCTGTCTAATGATATATAACTGTTTATACCTTAGAAGTATAGTTTAGCCGTAAAAGGGGTGTAAAGGAAACATGATTGCCTATTTATATATATGATTTTTGTTTGAAAGCGGGATTGCATTTTATTTTCCGATAGGTGGCGCTGTGTACAAGTTATTTTGAAAAAGTGATTGGGGTAAAAAGAGTCATATATATATGAGAATACACTTCTACACATCCAACAAAAATGTTGTCTAATTCTAAATTGTTGTGACACTGCGCCAAATAGAGTACACGACCCGATCGCGGAAAACCTTCGAGCTCACTTTGTTTACAAATCACAATTAGCTGGTTGCAGCATAAGCAAGTGCAAAGAAAAGTGCTCGTATAAAATTGAGTACTAGTATGTAAATACATATGTACATATGTACGTAATGAGGCTGCGCTCCATAAAAAATCAGTCTCGGGCAAACATGCTGATGCGTCAGCTATGTACATACGTGCATCAATTACGTATGTACGTACACACATATGTACTTAAAGAAACATGCATACATACATATACCACACCTGTGCGACAGTAATATTTATAAATGTTTTGAACGAGTGTAATGGTCTGATTATGGCAACTTAACGTAACTTACGGCACTCTCTTAAAAATTCTGCTAAATGGGTGTTGCTTACAATTGAACAGCCGAAACTTAGCGTAACTTAATGCCACATCGAAATCTGTTTCATTTTGATTCTCTAAGTTCTACGTTCCGTTAAGTTAAGTTAAGTTGCCATAATCAGGCTTTAAGCGTTGCGCAAACGACGAGCCCGCGAATAATTAATTTTTTATACCCAATTCATGGAGACACAAGTACTTTATGACACTCACGTAGGCACACGATATCGAAACGACAGTATCGATATGGTACTAATTTAAAGTATCGCTGTAAAAATATCGGGTACCGATTAATATCGAAATAAAAATACTCGAAATCCCAAATATCGATACTAAAATTCAAAAAAAATGCCTTTGAATATTGGTGTCGTAAGTAGGCCGTAGTGTAGTGCAGTGATTAGAAGTGTGCAAACCTCCGAGTGTATATCTGCCATTAAAAACATCAAAAAAATACAAAATACATCACAAAAATACAATCACCGTTCGGACTCGACGTAAAACTGTAGCTCCCTCCTTAATGTGTGACAACATCAAGGCGCACGCCACAAATCTGAGGAGAATCTCGGCCAAACACTAACATATTGTGTAAGCGCCAATCTATTACACGGTGCTAAAAAAAGTCATGAAATACACCCGAAGCAAAACCTAGTGTAGCCTGTAGGTATGGTCGAGTACGATATGAATATAGGACCCGTATAGTTCCTGAACCCTCAAT